TTCATTCAAATTGAAAAAACAATTTTCTCTTTCTCCAAAATCAGTGTTCCCTTTTTAAAATTAGGGAAATCCAACTGTACAAAATCACAATATTTTGAATCCATCAATGAAACCAGGTTTACGTTTCCCAGCCTTCCTATGAATCATGTAAACCTGAAAATCATTTTACCACAGTACGCTTCCCTACCTAATGCTGGATGTTAATTAAGCTAATACACTACCAACCAACCCATCAAATGTATGTATAATCATCGAATCTAGTTTCTATTATATTGGAGTAAATATAACTTGAATCTATCTACTAAACATTGGGCATTGATATCTAATTTCATCTTAATATTGTGATGATGAAACAGAGAGTATACATAAACACTCCTGAAATAAAAAAAATGGACATTTGAATGTTAAAAAATTTCCTATTATTTTTTTTGGAATTTTCTTAAAAAATGTTGTGCCCCGAGGGTGACAAAGGCGAACAACATTTTTCTCTTTTTTCTTGCTTTTGGCCTGTGAAGCCTCTCTCTATTTTTAGCTCCCAACCCATTTTCCAAAGAGTTTGCTTTGCTTTTGGCAAACAATCCCTCATTGTTGTCTGCAATGCACCAAATTAGGAGTTCAAATGTTCATATGAAACACTTTAAACTCCTTATAATTCCCTAATGAATCATTCCAGAACACACTAATAGACCTTTAAAAGTTGTTGAACCATATCTTATTCGGTTCACTCAATTGGAGATTGGGTTGAATGTGGGGAAATGTGAAAATTTTGGTCATTTGAAGTACAACAGAAGCATAAAATCAATCATTCTTTTCAGCTATAATGACATTTAAAAATCAAGAGCTGCGGGTAAATGGTTATTAGAAAGAAGTTTAACATCTTACTTCATAAAGTTTACTGTCAGCGGCTCCTGTATATGTTAATGGATACTTACTCTATTTGAAAAGTCACTCACGCTCTCTTGAAATAAACTCTTATTGTACAAATTTTTCTAAAATATACAGAATACGAAGTACTCCTATAAAATAAAGCCACTTTTATGTCAAAAAATAAATAAAAATAAAGCCACTCCTATCATATAACCAAAGCAAACACTACCGTACCTAATATAATTGCAAGCAGGGAAGAGGTTCAATCATATGCATCATTCCTTTTTCTGGAATTCACCAAGGCGGGTGCATCGTCCAATCTGGAGATAGCGGCGATATCTCTATTGATGAAGGAGAGGCCTCACACGGTCAATATGCGTTTGCGGCAAAGATAAGGCATAGAAGAAGTTTCTCTGTGGCAGTTGATTTGGAGCGGACATCCGGCGGAAGCAGAGAAGAGAAGATGAGGTGAGAAATTAGGGCCGGGGTAGGCTATAGAGAAGAGAAGAAGAGACGCAGGCGGGCGATTAATTTTGGAGAGCAGATAGGCTTTGACGGCAAACTTAACCCCGTCACCCATTTTTCTGCCCATCTATTTACATGCTTTCATCTCAATATGCCTTCGGTGCAATTAGGTAATGCACAAGAAGGCACCAACATTTTTTTGAAGACCATTATGCCCATAACAATATTCATGCTTATATAATTGTAGAGATATGGAACGGTTCCGTTAAGAACGGACTCCCAGGAGAGAAATGAGAACAAATCTGGACCGTTGGATTGCATTATGTGGAACTGCATTGTGTGTTTGGTGAAACTGAAATGTGCATCAGATGATATTGAAATGTGCAGAATAAAAATTTAAACCCAGGTGTGCATTAGGTGAAACTGAAATGTGTGGAATAAATGGTATAAAAATAACATCACATCGTACCTTTTATTCCGCACATTTCAGTTTCACCTCGTGCACATTTCAATTTCAACTAATGCTCAATTCAGCTTCACATAATGTCATTGTATCGTACCATCTGTGCTACACATTTCAATTTCGCCTAATGCACATTATTGTTTCATCTAATGCACATTGAATTTTACTTAAAGCAAATCTAACGGTCCAGATTCATTTCCATTTCTCTCTTAAGACCATGTTCTTATTTGAACCAAAACATATATATTGGAAGGTACCACTCAAATTATGTATAAACATTTAAAAATAATTGTGGAATCGATTTCATTCATTTAAGAAAAATTCCACGTAAACATTTAAAAATTATTGTAGTATCAATTTAAATAATTTAAGAATTAAATGTAGATGCAATCAATACACCATTTATTCATTTTTGTCGAGTTAATGGTAAATGCAATCAATACAACATAGAATGTGGTAACAATTAGGGGTGTTTGGATCCGCTTCTTAAAATTGTTTCTGCTCCTTCAGAGAACAGAAACCAGTGTATTGATGTAATTTCAGAAGTACTTCTGATGACCAAAAATTGTTCATAGAATCCGTTTTTTAGAAGCTGAGTGGAACTTCTCAAAAACTGATTCTGATTCTACTTCTGTTTTTACAAAAGAAGCAGAAGCAGAATTAATTCTAAACGCCCCTTTTAAGTTATAAGCAGTAATTCTTTTTCAAATAAAAGTTATTTGTACACGAAATTTGTATGTATTTAACACAATTGTGTAATTGTTTATCCACCAAGAGAACGTATTTCACACAATTTGTGTGTATTATACACACAATTAGGTACAAATGGTGCGAAATGTGCACAAATTTTGTATACCAAGGAATGGTTGTTCTTCCACACTCCGTTTTTGCTTGGACTTTATTCAAGGGGATGTTATGGAGTAGAAGAAGAAGCTTGCATTAAATGTGTAATGTCAGAAGAAGGCCTACGGACGGGGTTATGAACTGAATATGGAAAGAGATATCGCTAATCGCTTAAATTAAACGGATGTATATAAAGAATCTCCTTCCCTTTTCAAATCCTTCACAAATATTCAGACTCCGATCGATCCTTTTTGTTCTTCGATAACGATAACAATGTCTTCTATAAAACAGTGTGTAGAGAACTCTGCTAGTGAACACCTGGGCACGGCCCTTAGCCTACAAGATCACAACACCACTACCACCATTTCAGCCACCAGGACCACCACCATTACCACCACCATGAACACCCCCGCCGTGAAACCAATCCGCCGGCGAAGCAAACTTATCGGGTCTACTGCAAAGCCGACCCCTGTTTCGCCCTCGCCGTCCGCGACGGCACTGTCATCCTAACCCCCCACGACCCGACCGACTCGCGCCAGCACTGGGTCAAGGAAGACTCGGTTAGTGCCCTGGTGAAGGACGAAGAAGGGCTCCCCAGCTTCCTCCTGATCAACAAAGCCACTGGCCAGGCAATCCAGCACGCCGGCGGCGGCCGTCAGGCGGTCAGACTGGCGCCGTACGATTGGTATGGTGGGGTTCTTGACGGGTCGTTGCTGTGGACTGCTGGGCCCATCAATGGGGATGAGGAGTATAAAGACATACGGATGCAGAATAACATCCGGCTGAAGATGGACGCTTTTAAGGGCATTCCTGAGTTCGGCGGCGTCAGTGACTGGACCGTCGTTGGACTCTGGGAATGGAATGAGGGCGACAACCAGCGCTGGGCCATCGTCCCCTACTGATCTTTACTGGGAATTTTCTTTTCCTACGTAATAATTTCTGATGATGAATGCTTTTTCATCTTTTAAATTTGCGGTATGCAATAATGCCTGAGATTACCTTCCATGTTCAATTCAGAACTTTTTATGATCAACCTTTTATTATTATCCATCCTCAAAATGTGAGATTTTTAGGGAAAATTGCACTTTTAATTCAGCATATTGAAATGTGAGATTTTTGTTTTTTATGTACATGTTACCTCTAAATTGACAGCTGTGTTGTAAATGTCATCTCTGAAGAATTTATTACTGGTTCAGATTATAAAGAACGATGATGACATTTACAATTTCAGAAACATAATTCTGACATTTCAATGTGATGATTAATTGAATGATCAAGAGTGTAATTTTTCTTATTTTTATGATCAAAAGTGTACTTGACCAATGCTAACCTGCATACCTAAATTTTATTTTATTCGGCGACACCTACACATACTTCTATTTGTATTTGGATGTTCAAAAATTGTGAAGGGATGATTTTGAAAGGTTTTTGTGACTCTTCAGAATCCCTCGTTCAATTTTTAAGTTCTCCAATTTGAAAGAATAACTAACTCATAATATAAACTCAATTAAAAATGAATATGAGATCAATCATTTGAGTTCACTATACTTCAAAATTGATTTTCATTATAATTTCTTCAAAGACTCTATTTTTCCAAATTTATTATTCCCAAACAAGGAAAAAAATATTCACCTTCTCAACTCCCAAACATACTCGTATTGTTAAACAAGGAATGCAAGCTTTGTTAATGTGATAAACAGACCCAAATTTGAAATATTCAGGATGAACTTCAAATAGCCTAAGGATTTAGATTTCTATTGTAAAAAGTGATTGAATAACATAAGGAAAAAGAAGACGAAAGCAGTATGGCTGATTAAGAAATAGAAGCATGGTTGCCGATTAAGAATGTTTTTAAGTATACTAAACATTTCTTATTTGGGTTTGTGTATTTTACAAATGTTAAAGAACAATTTGATCTGATCATTTAAGTTTGATGTCATCCGAAAAGAATTTAACAAAAAACATCACAGTTCAAATTGTAATTGGCCTAAAAAAAGGCTAAAATGATATGAACTATGGTCTGGGGTCTGGAGTAATCAGGGTTGAAACTCATTCTATTGAGTTTCGAATCCGAGATCTCCCGTCAGGGACATTGAGTCGGCGACCAGTTGGGGTGATCTTGAGGTCGTTGTTCACTTATTCGGCTCCTAAAGTTTACTATGCCAACTTGTTTGATTAGGATTCCTAACTTGCCGCAGCTTGCTTTGTTGTTGGCTTAAATTTTTCTTTGTATCCTTAATTCTTTTCTTTACTTGCTTCACAATCGATTCATCCCTTCATCTGCATGTTCTTTTCAATTTGGAGACAAAGATAGATTCAGATCAATACTTGTATATAAACCTACTCCTATATAATACTCCGTATAAAATCATACTACAACTCTAGGTAGGATTTTTAAAATGAAAACTATACCTATATTGGACGACGACCGACCTAAGGTAGTGGATCATTCCAAACATCATTATCATCACCATCATCACTACTATCACTACGATCAGCTCACTTGTCACGGCTCGGTTGATATTCAACCAAAGCCCAAAACATATTGCGTGCACTGCAAGGCGGACTCCAGCTACGCCCTCACTGATCGTGAGGGCACTGTTATTCTTGCCCTCGCTGACCCGACGGACCCCTGCCAGGTCTGGTTCCGAGATGACAGCCTTAGCGTCCATGTTAAAGATGAACACGGCTTTTCCAGCTTTGTGCTGGTCAACAAAGGCAGTGGTAGAGCACTCAAGCACCCCTCTGGCGCCGGTCAACGGGTGGAGCTTTTGCGGTATGACCGTGGTGCCCTTCTTGATGGATCCACGTTGTGGACTGCGGCGGGGGAGGAAGAGTATAAAGCGGTCAGATTGCAGAATAACGTGCGGCTGAACATGGATGCATTCGGCGGCGTCAAAGAGTCCGGTGGGGTGCATGGTGGCACGACCATCGGTGTGTGGGAATGGAACGGCGGCGATAATCAACTTTGGAAGTTTGTTCCAAACTAAGGGATTGAACTCTTCCTTATTCATGAATTGTACATCATGTATATGAAATAATGATCAATACATAATAAAATAAGACTGTTTTTATTATTGCCATTACACATGGGAATCCTTCTAATCAGATCACTCATCTACTTCTAATCCTTATAATCAAGAGTAAACATGATGTCGTCTTTGTTTACAAGTGTCAACAAAATTATGTAGAATTACTCATTATGTAGAAATTTCATCCTAAAAGTTCACTTTACTGAGTTACTCCTTCACATTACTAAATTTAGCCAATTCAATCAAAAAATTAAGTTCAATCATATCTATTTTGATTATTACATAATTCAACATTTTCATCATGTGTTTTGTAAAAAAATTGACTGATAAGAGTGATAGACTCAAAATGGGTATTATCGGACAACCTTATAAGCGTTGATCAGATTGATATGTTTATGTGCCCTTTGCTTATTACAGAAGTCATATTAGTCTATCACACGGGTAGCTCAACGATGGCTGAGTGAGGCCTGAGGATTCAAATTTAATCCTGGGGTGGCGAAAGTGTGAGCTTCATTTAATGCGATGACTTCTTATGTGCACACGACCCTAAACCACCTAACTCAAAATTGTTTGAGATCATATCCCCTTTACTATTCCACAATTCTGCCAAATGGAAGCGTGGGCATATTTCTCCTTTTTTTGTTGAAGCCATATTAGTCTGATGAATAAACAAATATTTTGTGCACAAGAAATTCTTTAAAAAATGGTGCAGAAAGCTAAGAAGTAAATCTCCTCCCTGTAGTTATCAGGGGCGTGAAACTTTTCTTTCATTTTCCTATTGTCTTGCCGCTCCATTAATTAAAGAACTCATTTCTCTCTATGGAATTAAAATTGGCTGAGCCAAACATTAATTTACACTGTATCTATCTAACTACCCTAGAGAACTATGCCATGAAGTAGTTTCCATTTTTGTTGGAATCTCTCTCCTCCCGAATCTTGAGTAAATCAGCATACCCTTCAGCTGATGCAAGTGCGAATTCTGTCAGCGAGCTAACAGAGAACGACATCCCGGCACAAAGCACTCTAATGGCAACCTCAGCCATCTTTTCTGCTGTCATCACTCCCTCACCATCATCATTACCATCATCATCATCGACTCTTCCAAATTCCGCCACCTCCATATGGTGAGGGTCACGGCCGGACTGCTTCGACCGGCCTGTATTCCGCCGTGGATCCTCTCTCATCTGATGTGCATATAAAGAACCAACCCCTGCTGCAAAAAAGTCAAGACCTTCCAGAACGGGTCCCTCCCTGACAGAATCCAACAGCTTGGACCACTGGATGCATATGTTGAATATTGGCGGCGCTCCCTCGGGGCTCCCGCCAAGGAGAGTGGGAGAGCACATTGACTTCGACTTTCCGGATCCTATGTAGAGACAACGTAAGAGCCATGCCTTTAACGCTTGCAGGTAGGAGCGTTGAGAGGTGATCCATGACTGGAAACAGGCTCTCCAATTCCTGAGCTCCATCTCAAGGTTAGCCGCTGAGCGGGCTAGCTGGTGAGGTTCAGACTGTGACATTATTGTGTATTTCTTGGTTCGGGAATGTGCAGATGATGGTGTGCTGGCGAGTAAGAGCTTAGCATCGTCCAGTGTCCTTTTCTGTATATGGTGGCACTCTGCCATCACCTTCCACATTTTACCTAACCTGCTCATCATAATCCATAAAGAATTTCTATTAGTGGTGATTTTAGTAAGATTAAGCAATGTAGTTATTTAAGACCAATGCCTAAAGCATCTAGACTGTGATTAATCGAGGTTAAACGAGGACTTCACAGTTTGAGAAGAGCCTAGAGCTGGGGTTCAGTCGATGTTAGGTGGGGATTTTTATAATACTGAGGTTGGATAGATAGATAGACGAATATTACATCACTATTCACTATCAAACTAATCAAGGATACTTCTCTTTTTTGGTCCCATGACTATTAGGGTCACTCTCACTTTTGGTTCCAATTCCATCGTTTCCGCTTTTAGTCTATTTTTTTGGTACATCGGAATAGAAAACAAAAACAAAAGAGCAAACAAAAAGAAACAAAAGAAATTACAATCTCATGAATTCTAAGCCATTTGCGTCTTCCCATAGGATCTCTTCGAGGCCTATAGGAGACGATCGAAGAATAGTTAGTCCCCTCGGAACTGAGTGAGCCAAGTTAGCGAAAATCAAGTGAGGATTGTACTGAAATTGGCCAGTTAAGTGGCCCGAAGGACTAAAACTATACAGCATCTCTGGTTGGGTACCTTAGTGGTAGAGATGAAAGCCATGAACCAAAAGTACGAAATTTGTAACATAAGTGCAGATATTCCTTGGTTTTGTTGATTTCACATATAGAAAGTTGTTTAGATATTCTATTTTGGAGTATTTTAAAATTTGAATAATTTGGGAATGAGAAGACGGAAGGAAAGCCATCAACTCTTAAAAACAGACCTATATGGGATATCAATATCTTTCATAATCCTTTAGCCAATAAAAAAAGGGAGCCAAACAACTTACATACCCTTCCACCAGTTGTAAAAGCTGAGGTTGCAGCTCATCATCCCTTAAAGCTTCAATCCTTTTCGAGATAGACTCAACTGAGTGTATTGAGATCTTAATCTGAGTATGCAAACCCCTAATTGTTGCTCTTGTTTTTTCAAGAGAAGAAGGATCTGCCCCGCTTGCATCTTGATTTCTGAGATGTGCACATTTTTTCTCATATGCTAGCCGAACACGCTCCCCAGCCTGATTATCATTCAGAACATTTCTTCATCATGACACTTGAATACTTGATGAATTTGTCAATGTATTTAGACGGAAAAAGGAAGAAGAAGAATAATCAAGTAAAGTAGCATATAATACCTCCGTCCTGAAAAAAAGTTCCCACATTCCTTTTATGGATGTCCCAAAAAGAAGTTCCCATATCTATAACAGGAAATCACTTTCAACCCAAAAGTCACAACTACCCTTACTTTTTACCCAATTTTTGCTCGATTTGACATAAAGTAAAGGTATACTTGGAAAGTTAAAACAAAACTCTACCTTACATAAATATGTGTGTAGTTCAAATCGGGAACTTCATTTAGGGGAAGAGGGAGTAAAAAGAGCGCAGCCCAATGCACGAAGGCATCCGTGCAAAGCGAGGATCCAGGAAGGATCCCACCACAAGGGGTTTATGAAGGGCAAGTCTTCGCCCATGTGATTAAAGTAGCATATAGGAGATATTTATCTAAAAAGCTTCTTAGATGATGAAAACATGCAAAAGCTGTTTCGCATTCAATAAATCAAATAACGGGAACCAAAGAAACATTTAAGTAACGACAAATTCGGAAATTGTCACTATGAGATCAACAAATATGGTTTCTCGAAGTGAAACTTAAAGAATTCAAATATACCAATCGTGAGTTAAGACATTGATTTCGTCTTAAAAAGCCATTCACTAAGTGCTTGTTCTGTATCATTTTATACTTTTGGTCGTATGTTCTAATGTCCATTTTATGAAAAGTTAAATCAAGATCATGAGAACTAAGAAGAGATATTTTCAGGATCTCTTTGGCAATTTTTATTCTTGTCCATTATAGATCTTAAATGAAGTAATACAAAGTAACTTTCATAACCGTAAAATATAAAAAACTGGAAGCAACAAACAACAAGCCATAAAAGTTTTGCAAGTAACCAAAGGACTCTTCAACTTTCTGCGAAGCTCATGATAGAATGTTCCCTGATAATAACACTACATGCAGTGAATAATGGAGATTAATTAATTGAACGCATCAGATGCATACCCTAACTTCTTGGTAAAGTTTCTTTTCCCATATATATAATCTATCCAAGGTCGACTGGTGACTGCTTGAGAATATGGAGTCATCAGACAGCTCACTGTAGCTTTGATGATATTCATCTTTTATAATGGAGGGATTGAGCAAGAATCTAGATGAAGATGATCTTGAAGATGCTGACCGAAATAGAGCCACTGGGTTCAACATTTTCTTGGCTGCAAAATGAGATTCAAATTAATTGGCAAATGCAAGAGAGTTATTGGCAGGAGTCATGAACTGAAGATAATCTGAAATATGGAATGATAGAAATAAGGCTTATTATACACAAAACCCCGCATTTGTGTGAAGGTTGTGACAAAACTAATTCTTCATTTATGTAATTCTTATGTACCATTGTAATTCTTATGTACCATGCTGTCCATACATCATATCATAATCCAAAACACAGTTAGGATATGTCTCATTCTGTACATGATATGTTAATTTCACACGAATCTATCCACCTATAATTTAAATTCCTATGTCGTGTCATTCATCATTCATTTCTCATCTTACATTTAATCCTTTTCTGTTTTTGTTTTTTCAAATTATTGGTAATTGAGTATTCGAATTTGTCAGTTTTGACCTGTGTGTATTTTCTACCTCGTCCAAATCAGTGTGTACGCTTACCAACCAGAAGGAAATCTTAGATGGACAGACCCGTGTTGAATTAAAAGATTTAGTGAACGGAAATAGAGTGATCCTCATATCTTCTTGGGCTCTAAATGATGGACTAGTTTTCTCAACGGCTTCACATTTGGAGTTTCTTTTCGTGAAGTAAGCCTAATAATGATAGTAATAATAAATTCTTGTTTGTTACTTCAAAAGTAAATTTATCTTAGTTCTTGACAATTGATGGTTTCTCCTAAAAGAAATGATGAACCGCATCAAATGTATTGATTTAAGACAAGACAAACAAAATGAAGTATATGCACTTCACCTTAGCCTATGTAATGTTACCAATAAAGCAAATTGCGTTCTTCCAGGCATTTAATAAATCATGAGGCATTTAACCCAATCTATTCTAATGTTCTACATTTGGAGTGAATATGTGCCATGAATAAGTCTCATGTTCTGGACATAAACTGATCAATTAATGAATTTGGTACATAATAATGAAATAGAATATAAAACTAAGAAAGAAACAGATCATTAAAGTGATCAAGCATTTTGTCAGATGTCAATACTTAAAGTAGAAATGTATTTAAGGATTTTTGTCTGTAAATGTTCTGCATAAATTCAACCATATTGGTTAAATACTACAAAAGGAAACAAAGAAAAACAATTATTTTAAGTGAGCAAGGTTGCGTAGACTTACATTTAAGGTCATTTGATGTTGTTGAATAGTGAGCCCCGATAGACTCGAATAAAGAAGATACTTGTTTCGCTGAAGTGCAAGCAATTGTAAACTGAGCTTCAAGGTCCTTAATAACTTCTGCCATGCTTGTTGGCCTTCTATTTACATAAACTGTAAATCCTGCCATATCCTCATTTGGTTCACAATCAGCAACTGCATTCTCGTTAGTACTAACTTGGCCCCTGTTTTGTGACCTAGACACTGTTGCCCGATGACTTGCATTAGGTTTTGACCCTTGTACATGACGACTAGGATTTGAGTTTGATCCTTGAACATGGTGATTCAAGTTTGATTCTTGAGAATCACGATTGGCATTTAAGTTTAACTCTTGAAAATGGTGATCGGTGGCATTTGAGTTAGCTCCTTGAAAATGAAGATTGATGTCATTTTTGTTTGATCCTTGAAAATGACTATTGGCACTTGCATTTGATCCTTGAAAATGATGATTGACAATGGAGTTTAATTCTTGATAGTGAGGATTTACGATATTTGAGTTTGATCCCGGATGATGATGATTGGTGGCGTTTGAGTTTAATCCTTGATACTGATGATTGGTGGCATTTGAGTTCAACCCTTGATAAGGATGACTAACATTTAAGTTTGATCCTTGGTAATGAAGATTGGTGGCATTTGAGTTTAATCCTTGATAACGATGATTGACATTTGAGTTTGATCCCTGAAAATGAGGATTGGTGGCATTCGAGTTCAATCCCTGATAATGATGACTGGCATTCGAGTTTGATCCTTGGAAATTACAATTCATGGCATTTGAGTTCACTCCCTGATATTGATGACTGGCATTCACGTTTGACCCCTTAAAATGAGGATTCATGGCATTTGAGTTTAATCCCTGATAATGATGATTGGCATTACTACTCAATCCTTGAGTATTATGATTAGGATTTGAGTTAGACCCTTGAACACAAGGCTCTGTATCAATGTGTTCATCTATGTCGTCATCATCATCACTATCATCTTCAACCAAGACTTCTTCACTATCGAACTTCTGGTGAAACCTATTATCTCTCTCTTCTCCTCTTCTACTTTCCCTGCACTTGGCTTCTTCATGCTCAGACTCCTCTTCAAGATCAGGAATCCCCTCCTTTTCCCTGACATGCCTTAACCCCTCATCATCATCAACATCACCCAAAATGCCATGATCAGGAGCTCCACTCGATGCGGGATAACCACCATAGTGATCCAATGAAGCAAACGGATTCCAGAAGTAATCCCACTGTGTATTTTCGGGCCTACTGTTTGTCGTGGGCGGGGATTGCATACTGAAAAATTCATCATTCATCCCATACTGATGATACATAGTAGGAGAATATGTATGAACCCGAAACATTTCAGGCGTTCGCGGTGGTCTCTCCTCCACAGAAACAGAAGGGGTCCCACTGGGTCTAAAGTAGTTCACTCTCAATGTGGGTTCAATAGAGATGAATCCAGATGGTTTCACTTTTTTGACAGATGATGGGACCGGGCGAGAGGTTTTGAATGAGTCCAACAAGAACTCACGAGGCTCGTCCACCTCGACGTAGTCACGGAGAGCATCAGAAACTCGTTTCATAGATTGGATATAAGCAATGTGACCGGAAGCAAACTGAAATCTATACTCAACTGCTTGTTGGATGAACTTCTTCCTGTCTTTGCATAGCCGGACAGACTCTTCATCATCCACCTTGGATGAAGAACATCCCATTTCTTAATCCACCCTCCTTAGGAGATCCATACTCAAACAGTTCATAACAAGATGATGATGATAATTAGGGTAGTGGTGTTCCCTATAGAGAATCAAAACAGGTGTGTCCAACGCGTAAAGAAAGATAACAAGCAAGAAAAGGATGTAATCATGTAAATGCACAGATTTCTGAACAGATAAAGCAGGATTTCAGGTTCTTTTCTTGTCCTTCAAGTTTTCAGGAGAAACCCATGTAGAAACCCATGTAGAAAAGATTTACTCGGATAAGCTATCTAGATGCAGGAAAGTGAAACACGAACAAGCATAGCTTAAATAAGATTCCCTACTGCTCATACTCCATCTAAAATGCCAAAACCTCATATTCCAATCTCGGAATTTATTTATTACAAAAAATGGGTGTTTTCGAATTAGATAAAGTGCTAAAACCCTTGGTGAAAATGTTCCACGGGAGAAAATATCCGGCTCAATTTTAGCATATACAACCCTTCGGCGGCAGAATTTCAGTAAGAAGAAAATGGCAAACCAGCACCATTTTATATACGGAGTATAAAACAAGTTTTCAATCAACATCACTTAAATCTCAACCCCTATCAGCAAAAAACAAGGCGAAGAGACAGAAAGTTACAAACAGACAGAGAGAACAAACGAATAAAGCAAAGTAAAACGAAATGCGTTTTAGGAAAAAGGAAATGGTGGTTCGTGATTAGCCACTAACGAGCTAAAAGACAAAGAAGAAGAGGAAGGTCGCACCTTCGCTATCCGCGAATGGAAATTGCAGCACGAACAGCTAGCTGCATGATTACTGGGCTGAGCTCTGTTTTTTAGTGCGATTTTTACCGGCAATGGGTTCCGGAAGGAGCGAGGGGAAAAGCAACGGTCAAAAAGAAGAGAGAAAAGTAAACGATGGCGAAATGAAAGGGGCCAATGGCAATATAAAGGGGCTTCAGGGTGGGGGATATAGGCGCAGTTTGCTCTTGACACTAATGTTCTTCTTATTTACCGAATCTTATAATGTCACATTCTGACGTGGGTCTAATTTTTATTTTCTATCACTTTTGATCCTCGATCCTCGTAAAGTTTATGTGTGGACATCGTCATAGTCTAAGTCTACTTTACCTGCTATTGGAGACAAATAAATATAGGGAAATTATCCAAAATAGGAGCAAATCATTCTTGCAATTCCAAAAATAGGATTAGCATATTTTTCTTCTTGAAATAGGAGTTATTACTGTCATGTATGAAAAATACTGTCATGATTGAAAAAGACTGTCATTAATTATAATAAATATTGTCATGTTAAATGCACTGTACTGCAACTATTTGGCAGTCACGACTACAAGATGACAGTAAATACTGTCATGTTAGTCCCATTTCGGGAATAAAAACAAAGTAGTCCTATTTTGAAATTTCAAACTTCATTTACTCCTATTTTGGAAAATCTCCCATAAATATATGATGGATATCTTAATTTAATATAGAAAAATTGGTGTTTAAGAAAAAATGAAAGAAATGACATATATAAAAATAAATTGTAGAAATAATAGGTATAGAAAAATTGGTGTTTATGATAATGTCCAGATGAACTTTTCAGGAGCAAAAGAGGATGAGAATAAGTTCACAAGAACTTTTTCTCTTCTTTTTTTACTCTTGTATTTGTGTTTTTGGCTTATCATCATGCCTATGTGTTGTATTAATCTATTTTCTCTAATAAAATAGGTAAATGGCCCGACATTTACCACACCCTAGAAGTTTTTTTGGGGTTTAAAAAAATGTAAGATAATATTTTATTTTTGCATTTGAAATACTTCATTTTTCTCGTAAAATTTGATCAAAGTCGGCTTACATTTAGAATAATAAATGGAAGATTGTGTGAGTGAGATTTATATAGAACCGAGAGAGTGGCTTTAATAACATATTCATTGAGGAAATGATTTTTTTGGACTAACTAAATAATTAAAATTGATTAAGCTTTATTGGACGGATAGAAAGGAGTATTTTATCAGCCAAGCAAAAAGTGATCAAGAAGTCATATTACCTCTATCTCACTTCACTTTGCCAAGTTGATGTGGAGTGATAAATTAAAATAATAAAAATTGTGTGATTGAGATTTGTGCAAAACAGAAAGTAATGAACAAAGCCACAAATTCATTACATTAAAGAAAAATGTCAAAGTTTTTTGGAACAAACAATAAAGAAAAATTGGCAAAGTTCATGGAACGGGGGAGTATTAGATGTGGCACACTAACATTTCCTATTAATGTTTTTGTTTGTAGAATTGATTAGAACTTCATTATAAGATATACTACGGTGGTAAGTATATATATTCTTGTAAGTTTTTATATACGTAGTATGTTAAAACGGATTAATAATAGCTTTTGTTATACATCTATGTATACACTATATAATCTTAGATACTCCGTATATGATTGGGAAAATTGTCAATTTGGTCCTCGTAGTATCACAAAAAAGTCAATTAGATCCTCATACTTTAAAAAATCAATCAAATTCCCGAATTTTGAAAAATGTTCAATTGAGTCAATTAGCAGGTTACTTGTCATGTCAGCGGGTCACTCGCTGACGCCACACATGGCAGTCCACGTGCGTGTCACATCGTCGGTAAATGGCTAAGTGAGCTTCCACATATGTGCCACGTCAGCAAAGTCACTACTAATCGGGCTGCCACGTGTGTGCCACGTCAACAGATGACTTGCTGACGTGTCGGGTAACCTACTAATGGACTCAATTGGACATTTTTACAAAGCTCATGAATTAAATTGATTTTTTTAAAAGTATGGGGACTTAATTTACGTTTTCGTGATAATACAAGGATCAAATTGACAATTCTCCCTATAAGATTTTCCATAATCTTATTATCTATGGAACTATGGAAGACATGATGTGGAGATGGGACAGATGTTGGATATAAATTACATGGAGAGAAAAATTGAATTAATTAAATAAAATTAAAATTTAGTCATATTATTTCAAAAAAACGGGTGCTCACAATCTGATCTATGAATGTATATGTCAGAAAATTGTTAAGACACTATCATTTTAGGGAAATAATTAAAATACCTCAAACTTTGATTGAGTGTGAGATAAGCACCCATAACTTTTGTATATGTAATTTAAATACCTCAAACTTTATATAAAAAGTTATTTTAGCATCATGATCATGTATTATTTTTTTCAAGACGCGGGGACGAACGTCCGGATCCCCACCCCCTGATCATTTATGGCCACACATTATGGTGTGAGTGTAAAAATGGGGTACATTTTGGGTACCTCTAGGTGTTCATTGGGACGAACGTTCTCGCGTCTTGAAAATATAATACATGACCATGATGCTAAAATAACTTTTTATATAAAATTGGAGTATTTAAATTAGATATGCATGTTTGAATTGTTTATCTTACACCCCATCAAAGTTTGGGGTATTTTAATTATTTTTCCGATCATTTTATCCCCGATTTATAACTTGCCATTTTAGAACGATGAGGCTTCACTTATAGTTGAACTTTTGTGTTTTTAACTCACTCCCATTAATGTTAGGCTTTAGTTTACAGTTGAACATTAATTATAGGGTTTACACATGGCGTTGAACATTAATGTTTTTAACTCAGACCCGTGTTAATGTTAGGCTTTAGTTTACAGCTGATGAGCTGAACATTAAAGTTAGGATTTCCTCGGCGTTGGATATTAATATTTTTACCTCAAACTGAAATTAATGTTAGCTTTATGTAACGTTCGACATTAATGTTTTGGAAAAACTTCCTAAATATGACTTAAAAGTTTTGAAATTTTGAAATAAGACTCTCATATTTTTGTTCTCTAAATAAAAATAATTTTTGTCAAATTTGACATTATCAGGCTTTAAAACGGCAATTTTTGCTAAGTTTCTTTCAAACTTGACAAGATTACTCTTATTTAGAGAATGAAAAATGAAAATCCTATTTTGAAATTTCAAAACGTTTTTACTTCAATTTTGAGCAATTTCTATAATGTTTTTAAGTCAAACACAAAATACTCCTAGGGGGAGCTTCAAAACCCCAGATGGGCTGTCTCCTCTTCACGAACACTTGGTGCCGCAACCGCGCAACTACGTAACTAGGAGTTGACCTAGTCCGACGGTTCGACCCAGTCCAAAATCGAGTCCGATACTTGGGCCATACTGGGTTCGTTTTTTCCGATTCCGGGCATATGATTGGTCCTTCCGCTCAAGAGGAGTACCTGTTCCCGGTTCTAGGTCTGGGATCGGTTAGGTTTTGGTTAAAATACTATAGAACCGTATTAAAAATTGTAGGCGCTAAATTCAATTCGGTATCTAGTAAAAGTATCGTCGTTAAATTCGATTCGGTTCTAATTAAATTCAGTTTGGTTCTTACCTATTTACGGTTCCTTATAAAAATTATTATCCTCAATGAGTTAAATACCTAGAAAAAATGTAAAACTACAGAGCTCTTCATATTCATCATTATAATATGGAGTACTTCATTACTATTTAGTACTCTCTACGTCCCAAAAAAAACTCACTTTCCTTTTTTTAGACGCCCCATAAAAAGATGGAAAAATAGGTAATATTAATCCCAACTATACCCGGTCCGCTTTTAATAATCCTTAATATAGATTATTTCCCTATAGTCCCAACTTTGGGCCCCATTTTCTTAAAACACTCCGCTACCGGTTAAAATGAGTTATAACCGGCTAAGTAAACACGTGCAACACATCCCTCTTATCTTCTTCGTCGTCCACCGATTAAACCCATCCCTCAGCTTCTTCGTCGTCCACCGAAATGAAAGGAGTACAGAGTCAAGAAAATAGAACGGTGAACTCTTCTTCCTCTCCTCTTTTCAACCGCGACCCAAGAAATCAACCAACGGGATACGACGGCGAAATGAGTTCGATTTATGGGTCATCTTCATGGGGTAGAAGGACCGAAAGCACTGGTTTTTCAAATCAGTGCTACCACAGACTACTTTGTGGACCTAGAATGGTGAAAAATGGGCCAAATACTTGGAGACAATTTTATGGGTGTGCATTATGGCCTGTAAGTTATTTAGTACTCCTAAGAATCTCTCTTTTGCCCGCTAATCAGAACTTCCGTAACTTATTTTGTGAATTAATTGATGAGTTATTTTGTTGATTGCCAGAAAGAAGATTGTCATTATTTTCAATGGGTTGATGAAGGAGATCGTCCTTGCAAAGGAGACAACAGAAATGATAAGGAAATGTTGTTGGAGCATCTTTTTAGCAACAGAAATGAAGGACAAAAAGCATTAGCGGAGAAGATTGTTAGGTTGAAATTGAAGAAAAAGATGGTGGAAGCTAAAAATCAGGAAATGCAGCTACTCATTACCAAAAATTTGAAGTCCCAAAGAATGACATTCATTGCTGTTGTTGCCTGTTGGATCTCGTTTTGCATTGTGTTATACTATAAGTAATTTGGGGGTGTGGATTGTAAGGAATAATTGTATTTAGATTTTGATGATGCTATATTAATTAAGACTTTAGAGTACCCCTTTTCGAAATTATGTATTAGAATTTTCCCTTGTAAAGTTCTTAGCATAATCGACTACCAGAAGGCCTCTCTACCAGAAGTCCTCCAGACAGAAGATTTTGGTTGTCTGTCTAGGAACAGAAAACCTCAGGGTCTCTGTTACCCTTTAGCTTGACAGAAACCCTATTGGTCCTCTGTAAGCTACTTTCAACAGAAGTGCTCAAGATCTTCTCTGAATCAGTTCTCTGCCAATGACACCAGAAGGTCTTACACTTGGAAGAAATCCGCAAAGCCGGGAAGTCAACTTAAAGATTCCTTCAACGGCTAGAAGTATGAAACGGAAAAGCTACAGTGCTCGCATTAAATGCTCATTTAATTCTCCCCATGCTCCGTGGAGTAATTGCAGAT